AATGACATAATAACGGCGCTTTAAATGTTAATAAAGATTCTAAAAATATTTTTTTAAATCTTCACCTTTAAAAAAGCATCTTTGTATATATTTTGTTTCCTGAGCATTCATTTCACTATATGCTATGTGTGGTTATGGAGTGGGCAGGTAAGCAATGAAAAAAACCCCAGCATTTGGAAAACATTCTCAACCTAGGTTTACCTAATGATATTTATAAGCAGTATTACTTAATAATATATACTAATACAACATCCAATAATAAAATAATTTTAGTAATACACTAGGTAATTCCTTAAAAGTGCATATTTTTAGATTATTGGTCAAATACTGTGGCTTGAAACAAAACACAGAGAACAAGTTTGACAGAGCCGACTGAAAATTCAGTTGCTAATTTGCGTTCAAATTCAGCATAAAGGGGCTTCCCTGGTGGCGCAGTGGTTGAGAGTCCGCCTGCCGATGCAGGGGATGCGGGTTCATGCCCCGGTCCGGGAAGATCCCACATGCCGCGGAGCGCCTGGGCCCGCGGGCCATGGCAGCTGAGCCTGCGCGTCCAGAGCCTGTGCTCCGCAGCGGGAGAGGCCACAACAGTGAGAGGCCCGCGTACTGCAAAACCAAAACCAAAACCAAAACCAAAAACAAACAAACAAAAAATTCAGCATAAAGATGTGTCATTGCATTTATTTCTGTTACACTGCATAACAAAAAGAAGACAGAATTTTATTGTGAATCATGTTTACAGTAAGTTAGATTCCTTTAGCATGCTTGAAAAACCGATTTTGAGGTAGTTTACACCAAGGATTACAATATCCTGAAAAGGGATTAATCCAACTTGTTTAAAAGATGCCATTCATGCTGCAACCTACACATTAAGTTATGTCAGTAAATGTTGTAGCCATAACTTTTCTTCTTATATAGACAAGAACATATATAGCATCATTAGTACACCAGGTACATCAGTCTTGCTTTTTTTCTGATTATTTCATCAATCACATTTTCAAAATAAGGATGCTATGACTTATCACTCCCAACATCACTGAGTTGGGATGAGTCCTTTCATATAATTTAAAGATTTATATTTGGCCTACATGTTTAAAAGCACTGTATAAAACTCAATATCTGGTATAGTACCAACAACGTATTAGCTGTGATAATTCTTAAGAAGTTCACATTTTATGGAAGATAACATGGAATTAACAAATAAAAAGTTCTCAGCAAACGTGGCTGTAAAGCAAACATTATATATATAAATTTTTTTGTCAAAGTGATTGCTGACTTAAAAAGGCAATCAGATTCTACCATCTCCTTTTATAAAAGGTTTCTGTGCATTCTTTGCTGGAGTACAGTAGGGGCAATTAAAAGTGAAAAGTCCAAAGTTTTGCCCCGATCTATATGACTCAGCCAAGTAAGCTAGAAAAACCTAATCCTTCAGAACCAATCCTTTCATATCCTATGGCTTAGAAAAAAATTTTTTAAATTGTTTTAAAGAATATATATATGTATAACTGAATCACTTTGCTGTACACCTGAAACTAATGCAACACTGTAAATCAACTATACTTCAATTAAAAAAAATAAATTAGGGCTTCCCTGGTGGCGCAGTGGTTGAGAGTCCGCCTGCCGATGCAGTGGTCACGGGTTCGTGCCCTGGTCTGGGAAGATCCCACGTGCCGCAGAGCGGCTGGACCCGTGAGCCATGGCCGCTGAGCCTGCGCGTCTGGAGCCTGTGCTCCGCAATGGAAGAGGCCACAACACTGAGAGGCTCGCGTACCGCAAAAAATAAAAAGTATGAAAATAATTAATTAATTTTTTTAAAAGCCTAAATAAATAAATAAATGTCATCAAAATATCAAAAAAAAAAAGATAACAGGCAGTTTCTGATTTCAAGTCTAATGACTGAATTGGGGCTACCTTGATTTCAAATTCGTATTTTAAATGGATGATTTGCTTGAAAACTCCTCACTGAAGCTCCTTAATAGAGAAAAGATACTGGTCTGCAATAAGACAGATAGGCAGATAGTAGAAGAGAAAAGAAAGGAAAAACAAAACAAAGACCACATATCCATAAGCAATTATCAGAGAGACCAGACCTATTTAGACAATTTGTATCATTTCCTTCATTCCTTCATTCACTCCTACACACAGAAAATCATAAAAGATGTGAGTATAGTCTTTCCTTTTCCTTTTTATTTTTTATAAAGAAATATAAATGCCCATGCCAATACGTGCGCCGTGTCCTAAAAAGTATGGATTCTAGCCTGTGTACCCACAGGTCATTTATTCCAATTCTCCATCTATTTAAGGCACAAAATATGGGGATATCAGTTTCCTCCCACAAAGGAGAATTAAGTTAAAGATGTAAGGAAAAGTGCTTTGAGAATTGTAATGTGCTATAAATACATGTTTGCAATGGCAAAGAGGCTTACATGGTCTGGTATTTAATGATAAATAAAACTTTAACAAATTCTCTTCAAAAATGTATGTATAAAAGCTTGAAAGAAGTCTAAAAGCTGGAAAAGTTTAAATCATAAGTTATAATGCTGAAATAAACAATTTTGAACCCCCAAAGTAAAAGATACCCGTTCTAGTAATATTCACCTAGGAAGAACCAAAATTCATTATTCAAAAGAAGATGCAAAAATGTTATCATAAAAGAAGCATTAGATTGTGGACTAGAATTTTAGATTAGATTTGGGCTGTCTCCATTAAATCTGAACACTTTGACATATTCCTTTATTAAAAAAAAACTCTACAAGAAAGGTATTTTACATACCCATTTTGCATAATGCCAGGTTATTATTATTAGTTCCTTTTACATTAAGCCATAATAATTTCAGTTCTGGTTCTAGATTTCATTCTGTTTGTTTTGCTTCTATACCTGACCTTAGGATGGTGGTATGATTTTTTTTCAGAATTAACACATATTTAAAGCCAATGCTTAGATTTCTTAAAAATAAAATAGTAAACTGTAATTCCTATAACACTGATTTGTATATAAGTTTACACCTACAAAAGGTCAGTGGCCAGTATACTCTTATTCATTCTAACATTTCTTATTGGTGTTTCTTTTTTTTGGTTTATAGTGGGCACTCAATAAATACATGTCACATAGTCCATAACTTAAAAAGATAATAGCCATGATGATACACTGAAAGAAGAAAAAAGGATATAAAAGTGACAGTAACATAAAATGAGAAGGCTATGCCATTTAATAAAATAAAATTCATTTAATACACAGTATAAAATAAAGAAGCAAAGCTGTAGCTAGAGAAACATAAATTTGGGTTCCTATCAAGCCAAATTCCCCTAATATGAAATTTTAAAACCTTTCCACTGAAGATTAAACACTTAGCCTCAATTTAAGTATACAATGTTCAATAAAGCAATGCCAATCCAATTATGTATTTTTCTATTTAGCATTTCCTAAGAGTTTACTTCTATTTCTACATGTTTTCAATAGCATGTCTAGAAAAATTATTTAAAAATAGAGAGTGTTGGGGGAGGGATGGATTGGGAGTTTGGGGTTAGCAGATGCAAACTATTATATATAGAATGGATAAATAACAAGGTCCTACTGTAGAGCCCAGGGAACTATATTCAATATCCTGGGATAAACCATAATGGAAAATAGTATAAAAAAGAATGCATATATATGTATAACGGAATCACTTTTCTGTACAGCAGAAACTAACACAACATTGTAAATCAACTATACTTCAATAAAAAAATAATAAATATTGAATAAAGAAAGAAAGAAGGAAATAGAGAGTGTTGAGGTGTTGTTATCTGAAGAACATTCTACCCACACATGCCAAGAATACTGAAGGATCTGGGGCAGATTTCAGGACCAAGACGATAGAGATCCCTGTTTCGACTGAAAATCTAGAGAAGCAGGATGCCGGACAATGTAAGTATATGAATTCTTACTCCTAGTAGTTAACAGTGAGCACTTATTACAATTCACCTTTACAATGGAGGTTCTACCACATTTAACATAAACCCTCCAAGCAGGTTTGAATTGTGCCAAAGAAGCTATCTCAAAGAATAGCAAATGGTCCCATTTGGTAAAATGGTCCCATTCTGCCTTTTATGTATGCAGAAGTGATTTCTTTTTACAAAAGAATCTATGCAAACCTCTCAATATAGTACACATGCACTTGTGTGCTCTATCAGAGAAAATATCCAAAAGTTCCTTGATATGAATTTTACCACCAGATTCAAGTCACATGCCCCGTTACAAAGACATACCAGGAATCTGATATATCTATAATATTCACAGATGCAGATATATATTTATGGGGCTCTGCATAAATCAAATGCCTATGAATAAAACATCATTTAACTCTACAGGAATTCAATTCCAGTTTCAGAAGTAGAGTATCACTAAATCCCTCATCACTGTTGAAAAAAGAAAGCAAAAAAGAAACACTTCTCAGTAATAACAACTTATTTAATACATTATATTCAAGTTTTTAATCAATGTCCAATCAACTTCAGCCTAATGTTTATTTTCTGACACAAAAATGAAGGTAATAAGGGTTTTCTAAATTTCCAATTTTTAGTATAACCTGGTAGGTGTGCCACTTTCCACTCTGATGAATGGAAACATACAGCGCGACAAAGCAGGCTTCTACTGAGACAAGAAAATACCTAGACCACAGTATTTGAAGTCAAATGATATAACCCCCCAATCCTCCATTTCTACTGCATGAAAGAAAACTGTTCAACAACTCAACAAATAGCTGAAACCTTCAAGCACCTACAAATATTCTGATCAAAAGATCGTCTTTGCTGTTGAACCAAGAAGATACTAGGGATCCATGATCGATACCAATATTCCACATCAAACAGAAGATTATAAAACCCAACCAAAGTCAACGCTTTCATACTCAGCCAGTGACATGGATGCAATAACGCGACGCAAAAAGAAATCACGTAGTAACAAGGCCTGGTTTGAAAACCTCTTTAGCAGTGATTGGGAAGAGAAAAAGGTTGGTACCCACCTGGGATCTTTCTGAATGCTATCGATGGACGGGGATCTGGCCAAGGTGCCTTCGGGAGGGAGGGCAGGGCCGGATTTGCTGTACGGAGACTCGACGGAAGGACAATACTGCAGCTGCCGGTAGGGGTCTGCGTAGCTGGAGGCTGGGCCGGCGGCGTAGCTGGCCCTCTGGAAGGTGGCCACGGCAGCGCTCTGCGGGCCATGCTGGCTGCCTGTGCGCTGCAAGGGGACGGAGTCGACACCGGGGGAAGACGGGGCTAGGACAGGAAAGTAGGGACAAAGTAAAAAATTGAGGACCTGCTCACAGAAACGGTTAACCAGGTCTAGGCAGGGGGGAAAATTGCACACATACAAAAACAAAAACAAAAACAAGGGTTTGAAAGAATAAAAAAAAAAAATTCTGTCATATTTGAAATAACACATTCGATGTTACCCATTAAAGTGATAATTAGCATGCTATTTCAGGAATAAACCTTTCCACTCTAGGGCGAAAACGCATCTGCGGTGTGTTTGCTGCTTACCAACCTCCACGAGAAGGTTTGTTAATCGGAAATGTAAACTCTGTGCGGAGCTAAAACCCAGAAGAAATGTAAGGAACATCTTCTAAGGAATCGTGGACAGTGACTTCTTTACTGTTTAGGTTGAGAAAACTCAGAAAGTGCTCGCTCAGGTGATGTTACGTTAATTCTATTAAGGGTGTGAAAGAAATTTAGTAATGTGGTTAATTTCTCCTAAATAAAAGAAAATACGGAAACGTGAGAGGATGTGTATACATCGGTGTGGAGGTGGACACAGGTCCATAGTTAGTACTCGAGCATTAAATGCAGGACTGTCCTAGTTCTTGTAAAGTTTAACAAACACCCACAGGATTTTTATATGCCTCTTTCTCAACTTAAGCTGCCATAGTAACAAATACATTTGGTGAAGGGTGGGCATGGGAGAGGAAATGAAGACCTGCCCAACTGCAACACAAACAAAATGAGCTGACTTGGCTTTCCCAGAAGTATTTGCATCTTTTCAATACGCCTAAATTGTCTGGATAAGATTTGACACCAGTTACTAAAATTGGTTTCACTATTTCCAAACTGAATTTCAGTTTTTTGTTTCCTTCCTGAGTTCTTCGGAGTTTGTTTCCTGTCATTATTTTTATCTGGTTCTCAAAAATACTTGACGTCTAAGGTTTAGCTGACTTATACAATGAAAATAGCATCTTCCATATTAATAGAATGCGACCTGTTATTAATTGTTGTGATATTTAGCCATGATCAATATTAGATAGCATCTTTACTTTCTAGCATTGTAGATCGGAATATATCCCAAATACAGCCAGTGTCTAGATAAGGCCATTTATACCATGTAAGCTCTACATGGAATTAGTTTCCAATTACGAATCACACCCCACAACTCGGACTTTCTGAGCGCTTCATAGTGGATGGTGATAGAGCTTATTTTATCCTCTCCCTCATTAGACGACATATGTGAAATCAAATACAAAAGAAATTATGTCACGTTGAGGAAACAATGTTAATGTTAAAAGTTAAGGATATCCTGTCGAAATGACAAAAAGTTGCAAAGTGAAATAGAGAAACATATCCTAATATGAGAGCTGATTTTAACAGAGTTCAGGGCTTTTCATTCCAATGAACTTTTAATACTTAATCTTATAATAACCAAAATTAGGAGACTAGGCACTGTGACATGGTGAAGACTAGAAAAATATTTCAGAAAACTTTCTAAACAAAAAGTGTGTATTTTCCCAGAAGAGCAGTTATTTGGAAATGATGAGGGCTGCCCTGATGGATTAAGTTTCAAAGTCACTGGATTAGACTAATAAAGATTAAGTTCACAACCAGAAAATCTGTCTTACGTCTTTATGCAACTTATGGAGCATTTATATTGTCTCCAAAATTTTACAAGCATGTCTAATTAAAATTCATGTTTTAAAATTCATGAGCAATGTGCTTTATGTCATGGGGACAGGGGTTAAAAATTCAGGCCAGGCATAACCATGCTCTTGGAAGAACAAATGCAAAGAAGTAAACAAAATTTCATTTTGGGGAAGAGTTGTGAAAAGCCAGCCAGCAAATCAAGGGCAAATGGGGAAAACTAACTATAACCTGACATTTTTCAGATAAATGCATTTTTTCCATCCAGGAACTAAATATCTGTACTTAAGCTTGCTGAAAAGGGTTACTAATATCAGAAAAAAATCCTTTCTATACAAAATTATTTGTTACTAATACATTAGATATAGTGATTAACAGGAAGGGAGGGCAAAATGGCAGAGATCAGGATTTAATAATGAAACGTGAAGAAACACTCTTGTTAAAAAAAATGATAATATAGGTAAGGGAAACAAGCTAACTAGCCACACCAGAAACTCTCAAAGGACTATAAATTTAAAAAGAATAGGGACTTCCCTGGTGGTCCAGTGGTTAGGACTCCACCCTTCCAATGCAGGGAGCACAGGTTTGATCCTGGTCAGGGAACTAAGATCTTGCAAGCCGTGTGGCACAGCCAGGAAAAAGGAAAAAAAAAAAGGTATTAAAAAAAAAAAAGAATATAGTATAACAAGAGGAGTTTAAGAAAAGCAATCCCAGGAGCAAACAAAAAATCGTGCAGAGGATAAGGGAGACTGGGGCAAAACGTGAAAATAAGATGTGAAATGCAATTAACTGAGCAGAAACAAGAAGGCAACATCTCAGTGTATGAGGAGGGAGAAAAGGTGAAGGAAAGTTTATGAACATTGTTAGGCTCAGATATGTATTCTACTTTGGCCTTTTCAGGGGGAAAATGTCAGGGAACGCATTCAGAGCTTGGCTTCTGAAGTTAGAGAATCAGGTCCACATCTGGGCTTTTTGGTCAATTGTATCCAGCAAGAAAGTGAGCTCTCAAAGCTCCAGTTTCCTGATTGTAAAGTGAAGAGAAGACAATGACCCTGTGGGATCATTGTTTGCTTTAAATGCGTGAAATCGTTTAATGCCTAATATGTGCAAAATGTTAAACAAATGAGCTCTTATTATTATTGCCTAACAATGCTGAAATCAGCTCACATTAGAAAAGAGATTGTACATATTGCTTTGGAGTGAAAGGCCCTTGCCACTGGATATCAGACTTTATAGTTCTTGTAAGCACGTCATTTGTGTGGACTCATATTTGGTCCAACAACTCTACAGAAGAATAAACATGTCATTCTCACTTTACAGGTGGGAAACTGAGGCACAGAGAGATGATATAACTTGCCCAAGTTTGCCTTATATTTAGTAGAGAAGGAATTCAAGCCCTTGCACCCTGCTTCCGGAGTTTATGCTTACAGGTTTATAAGCTGAACTAGGTTTATAACCTCAAATATGTGTATTACTGAATTACCTAACACAGTGAGAAAACTTAGAAAAATGATGAGAGGCCTAAAATTAAGGGTAATGTCTACCAAAAGTACAGAGAAGAGACAGATTTATAATAGGAATCAACAATCTGAATATTCTACTGGAAAAAACTATTACACCTTGGTGGGCTAACTAATGTACAACATTTCTCATTTAATTGAATTTACTGAGATATGCAGAAAAATCTAACTTTGTTCATTTATAGGGAAATCAAGAATATGATATATATAGTTATCTTAATTTTATTTTGAAGTGTTTTGAGTCTTCGTTTAATCAGTGATACTACTATATTAAGAAAAAAAGAAAGTGGACTATGAAATGTAAGACAGGTAAACAACTTCCAGAAAGATCATATTTGAAAAAAAAAATCACAGTCACATTTCTGTCACTTGACAAATGGCCTTTCAGAAGTATCATTCCTGAAGCCATAAGTTTCAACTTTTTTAGGTCACAATAGAGTACCTGATGAGAATTTCAAAATATAAAATTAGAACTCAAACTGATACTGTCAAATTCAAATAAATTAGAGACTGATCAATGCAAGGAAAATAATGCAAAATAGCAATACAAATGGGGAGAAAAATATACTATTTTAAAGGGTAGGTTATATGATCATATAGAAGAAAATTCATGAGAAACTAAGAGATCTCAAACTAGCCATCGGTAATGTAACAATGTTAATACTTTCTATTTTTTTAAGCATGAGGTAAAAGACTGATTTCAACACGTTAAAACTGATTTCTCCCTTTTTGCCTTGCCTGTTCAGACTGTGGTGTGTTTGATGCAGACTGTGGCTCTCTATTAATACAGATAAGCCGATACCGATCACACGACTAAAAGACTTTTCTTTAACACAAATTTTCCCTTAATTTCTGTCCTGTTATACTCGGTTGGCCAAAAAGTGTGTTCGGGTCGTTCGTAAGATGGTACGGAGGAACCCGAAAGGAGGTGATGGCCTACGTTTTCTCTCATTTGAGTTTTAGAGCTCAGTTGACCAAATCACCCACCTTGGAGGATTACTCTATTCAACTGAACTTTCTTATGGCAAACATTTGAAGTAAAAGGTGCTTTATCAGCTCTGTAAATACTCCTCTCTCTTCTCACCTGCTCTGCAAACAGCCCCTTCTCCCCTCAATAAGCTCTTCCAACTCAATGAATCACACTGCTAGTCTCCTTGGGGAAAGTTTAAAAGTAGCCTCTTCGGGGAGATTTTAAAAGTAGCCTCTTCAGCAGTTGACCTGATAACTTCACCTTTTCACGCTGCTCATGAAATTATCTGTTTTCCGAAGAGCTACACAAATAAAGTTCTAGTGCGTAAAGGGAAAAAAAAATAGATGTTTTATGTGTTGTATTTTGTTTGAAAGAAGGGAAGGGAGATCCTTTTTAATAAAAGCAAACATTCTATTTTGATGAGGATAGATGGTTACATGCATCATTTACTGACAATGGAAAAAAAGGAGAACAGAATAAAATACAAGACTGGCACATGAAGAAACGTGGGAGATGGAATATAAAGTAGGGTTCAACAGAAGAAAGAAAAAACATTTATTTTTGTTTTCATATTATTTATCTTTGCTTTTATGTATATTTGTACACAGAGAGATATGAAAACATAAAATACTTTTACACATGTTATAAAATACAAAGCAAACAATAAGCTGATTAAATAACATTCCTTCTGCAAGCTCAGAAAATAAAAATGGCTTAGGTGACAATGGGTCCAAAAACATGGCCTATATACCTTTAAAGTTATTACTTAAATAATAACAACTCTATCATTTCAGGGATGAGGAACCTTCACCACCCAATCCACTATATTCCCAATAGTATTATCATCTAGAACTGAATTATACATGTCTTCCGATTTTCTG